CAGATCTTGCATTCCTTTATTTCAGGAGCTTTGTTACTATAATCAATAAAACATGCAAAAATCTGGGAAGTTGCTATACACACAAAGATCTGCAAAGATGGGCCTTAGCTATACAACCATAGTCATGTACCTGATGTAGATTTATGACTATTTCCAGTTATCTCTCAGGACCTTTCTACTTTGCACATATAATCCAGTTTCTGAATCCAGATTATCTGCTTTGAACTGGAATATATATGGCAGTGTATACACCTATAATCCACTTCATAGCAAATAATCTGGATTCAGAAACTGGATTATATGGCAATGTAGATCCAGTCTAACCCACTTCACAGGGTTGTAAGATAAAAATGTAGATGGATATTATACATGTTGTCTTGAGCTCTTTGGAAGAAAGACAGACTATAAATATATTTCCTGAAAGCAACAATCAGCTCTGAAGATCAGTACCTTAGATTTTAGGGTGTGTGTATTTTAAAGTCATTTTTCTTTTCTTCTCCCATCTCTGTCTATCCTGACAGTGAAAATGCCAACCTTCCTAATGTGATCTCAAGCAATTTAGTTCCTTCTTTTCAAAACATTTTTCACGCGACCTACATTTTGGTGGGAATATTGTTTTATTGGTTTCTTTTGAATCCCTCACCCTGCTTGATGCCTCGGACCTGGGTATATAAGGAGAAAAAAAAAGGATATTTCCTCTCTCACAGAACTCTTGATATTTTATTTAACTTTATTGAATCCTATGTGTTACTTTTAACTCTAGGCAGGGTTCCAGTATCTTAAGGGTTGAACCCTCTTCTCCAATCCTTGGGGTGATTCCATAGTATTTAGCCATGGTAGTTAAATAGTATCAAAGTACAATTAATTTTATGGTGTAGAAGCACTTAGACTCATAGAGTTGAAGGTATTTTAAGGGACACCTAGTCCAAACATCTGCTATTGCCTCCGGGTAGCATAGAACCTGTTTGGTCATTACCTCTGAGAGCTGGGCATTTAATATCTTTTTAAAATCTCCAGTAAAAGAGAACACAGTCAGGCAGAGGTTGGATGCACACCTCTCAGGGATACACCTGTGGTCCATTTGTTGATATCTTACAACATCAAATAGTCCTAACCTGTTAGATCTAACTCAAGTAGACTCAACTGTTGATTGTTGAATTAACAGGAAGGTAAATCCTGTTGATTCACTAGATCAACTTTAGTGTGAACTTCACAACAGAATTCAAGTTACCATGCTTTGATAAAATGCTACTTTTGGAGATAATGATTATTTTCCCACCCGTTCAGTTTTTTTTAAAAAGAACAGTGCTTCTTGTCTTGATATTGATTTATGTGTGTGCCTTAAAGTCAGCTGTTAACTTGTGGCAACCCCATGAATTTCATAGGGTTTTCTTAGACAAGGAATATTCAGAGGAAGTTCGGCTAGTTCCTTTCTATAAAACACATACATACACATATATATTAGGGCTGGGCGGTTTCGTTTCGTTAATTCGTAATTCGTTAATAATTCGTTATTTTTTTAATTACAAAATGATAACGAACCATTCTGGAGCAATTTTTTAAAAAAACGAATTTTTAAACACGTTTTGTAAATGCTTCGTATTTCGTTATTGTATTCGTTTCGTTATTGTTTTGAGGTCGTTTCGTTATTATTTCCGCATGTCTGGGGCAAGTTTTTTGTTTAATTAGTGAAAAAAAATTATAATATCACACCAACAGTCAACAACAGAGGGAGAGGGAAGCTTCAGAAGTTTTTGGAGGTTTTTTAGCGTATTTCGCGGTCGCGTCCGCCATTAACGAATCGATTCGTTATTGTTTCGGAAATCGATTCGTTAATTTTTTTACCATTTACGAAATTTCGTAAATATCGAACTTTTTAAAAGGAAAATTTTGTAATTATTTTAAATATCGAAACATAAAAACCCCCCAAATACAAATCGATTTTAGAAACAAATTTTTCCGTTGTTACCCAGGCCTAATAATCTCATCCAAATACTATCCAGGGCTGACCCTGCTTAACTTCCAAGATCGGCCTTGTACTTCAATTCATGTTTCAGCAAATGTTAATGTTACAAACTAACTTCCTCTAAATTGTTTGCTCCATTCTAGACTGTCATACAAATATTTCTCTCTGCTTGTAAAGTCCCCCTGAAACCAATTCAATTGCAGAATCTGAATAGAACAAAATTCTCTTAGATGCAAGAACTCATGCTCAATTGCTTTCTGAATGGTGCTCCATGTTTCCTCTTCTATATTAGTTTATCTTCTCAACATTGCAGAGATTATTACAGATCCATGAAATGTATTTGCTTTGACAACCAGATTGTTTCAGAAATATATTTACTACACCTTGAAAAACCTGGGATGTAAAACTGGAGTCACACATCATTGAAACCAATAGTGAGGAAGTGTCAAGGGTTGGGAGGTCTACCTAAGGCAAATTCAGATCAAGGTAGGGATACCAGTGTTAGTGACTCCACTCCAGGCTTTGGGTGGCTTGAAAAGAGCTTTTCAAGGTGCTGAATTTGAGAATAGTGTTCAGCACCTTGGATACTTCCTTAAAAGCAATTAGAAGCCTTGAGTGGATTCACTACGCTGTGGAGAGCATCCTGCTATAACTATCTGTCATAAGAGCATCAAAAATTCAAACAAGCGGCAATAGATTCAACCATGACTAAATATGCAAAGATTTCAAACTCAGATTCAAAAGTGTTAAGGCTTTAAAGGCATGAGCCTCAACAGACACATTTCTTGGTTTTGAATTCTCAGGCATTCAATTAAAAAAGAAACCCCTTGAACATTTCATGTGACTATGAAAAAAGTGGATTAAATTCATGTTTATTTTGTAAAGAGAGACAAATGGTTTCCCATTCCTCCTTTCAGCTAAGCAGGTCAGAAGTTAGAGCCATAATCATGTGGACAGTTACTTAAGAATACATGTTACTGCATACTCTGGAACTTAACTTCTGAGTAAAATTGATGTGGATTCTGTAATCCCTTGCACAATTTGAAATGAGCACAATGTGAATTTCCTTCCAAATACACTTTTGGGTATTTGGATACTTGAAGTTTAAATTCAGGTAAGTGGATATCATTCTTTCTACAATGCCTTTACCTGTCTAAAGGGAACTCTCACTTAGACTGAAAAAACTTGGGAGTTTATGTATATGACACCCCTAGGAACATGCACAAAAATAAAAATACTATTAAGCTGTCTGTCCATCTGCTATCTATCTATCTATCTATCTATCTATCTATCTATCTATCTATCATCTATCTATCTATGCAGGAGATATTGTTGGCAGTTTTCAGAGAGGAGATGCATCAATTTGCCTTACCAAACCTGGGTACTTTGGATGGGCAATGGCTTGTATTGCTACCGGGGATGGTTGTAAGAGAAAGAAATAATAGGCAAGTTGCTCCACCCACATTATAATAGGTTTGTCTTGATTCACCTTGGCTTGTTTTATGCAAAGGAACTATGCATGTCCTGCAACAGCATAAATATGCTAAAAGGTGTTTCATGATGGTTCGTTTCTGTTCTGGTGTAAGGTATTGAAGATTAACAGGGGTATCCTCCATGCATCCATCTTCATCATTGTCCCCCAATTCAGTATCCCAAATTCAACAGGCTGAAGTATCATGGAACTGAACCAAGGAGAAGAAGTTCATGATACTGTTTCTCCCTAAATCACTGAGTCAGTTTATTGAATTCATCATTTAATCATTGTTTCTTCCCAACTCCAATTGCCAAGAGAGAATGTGCCAATAAAAAACATCACAAGCAGCTTGAATTTTGTGTATCACAAGTAAATGTAGCCCCCCTCCCTTTCTTCCTTGCTCAAAGAAATATTAATTATGAATTCATATTCAAAAATATAACCACAAATGTTTGGGCTTCTTTTACACCTGTGAGCACAACATGAGTCTTAGAAGCAGGACAAGTGTACATATGAACATTCTGTACATGTGCAGAAAAATGGTGAAATGTGACACCGAGTACAATTCCAGGGTGTGTGTGTGTGTGTCGGTTTCAGCATTTATTTTTGTTTTAATCCACACTTCTAGCTTCTGTGATGGGGAAGAAACACTCGCAATGCTTGCTGTCAAACTGAAGAACGCAGCTGAATTTCTGCAAAGATTTCCAGTTCCGTTTTCTAATTGGAAGTCTTTGTCGGAATTCATCTGGGTTCTTGAGCGTTTCTCAAAGCATTGAAAGAAGATCTTTCCAGTCTATAATTCCCTGCTTATTCAGGAATGGGAGTTGAATACATTGCACAGCAAAGTAAAAATTGCAGAATCAATTATGTAAAATAAAGGAAGTCATGCAAATTGCTTTGCTCTGAGTAATCTATACCATTCCCATGGTTCAGATTTGTGTAGTGCAGAATTTTTATTTGACTAGAGCTGATAACCTTCTGTCCAGTTTGTGATCTGATGCTTATGATCATCTCCTACATTATTCAAAGCTACAAACCTAGGATTTGAACTGAGAGCATGCTGCATACAAACCCGAGCCAAATTGGGAACTCTCACCATCGTAGGTCTGTGATCCACGTGCTTTCAAGCATGTTCATCACAATACATGCACACCTCCCATTTCCCTTTAGTAAACACTTAAAGAAAAACTCTAGACAGTCTGCTCACAAACCTGCCTGAAAGAATATTTATATAAACACAAACAATTATTTCACAAAGTTCATTGAGCTTGCACGGGTCTTTTGGGAGTAGCAGCATGCAATGACTTCGGATAGTAGAGCAACACGAGGAAATGAGCGTGCTCTAGAGAGTATCTGTCATCTGCTGTGACAGGGGAAAGCTTATGGCTTTATAGGAAAATGAGCGTCTGCTTGCAATGTTTTCTTTCTATCTTTTTTTTTTTTTAGCCTCTAACTAATCTCTGATCTCTAGGTATTAAACGTAGCTAGAGCTGGGTGCAGTTTTGTAAAGCTGCCAGCCGCAGCAACAACACAAATCAAAACAGGCACAGAGATACTGACCTGGATGACAACTTTCAGAGTGGAAGCTTCCACTATCTGGGTGCAGATGAACGAGTCTGGATCTTGGGGTACCTTGTACACCTGTCCCATGGTCACAATCATCGGAATAGCCAGCAGAAACGAAGCCACCCAAATGCAGCTGATGAATTTTTTGGTCCTGCTTCGGGACATGATGCTCTTGGCTTTGAAAGGGTGGCAAATAGCCATGTACCTTTCAACGCTAAGGCTGGCAATGTTGAGAGCTGTGGCATAGGTACAGGCATCCCTCAGGAAGTAGTAGCCCTTGCAGATGTCATTGCCAAAAGCCCAAGGGTGATGTACCCAGATGAAGTTGTACAGTTCGATGGGCATGCAGAGGAGGAAGATGAGCAAGTCGGAGAATGCCAGGCTGGCCAGGTGATAATGCACAGTGCTTTGAAGGTTCTGCAAGGACTTCTTCCGCACCAAGGTGTAGGCAGTGATGGAGTTGCCGATGGTCCCCACCAAGAAGAGCACCAAGTAGATGATGGTGACCATGACTTTGGAGTAGATGTCTGTGTTCACGTCCAGATCCTCCTCGTTGGGCATCCGGGACCCAGACTCTGAACTATTGGAGACATTCCCGGAGGTAGGCAGAGCTGAGCCGGTAGGCTGCAAGTGAAACTGACCCATAAGGTATCCCAGCTGGTACAGCGATGAAGTTGTGTTAAGGTGCATGTCGTTCTTCTTGCTGGAGTGAAGGCTGATCCCAAGGCTGCTGAAGGTGCTCACTTAAGGATGCTTGAGTCCCAGCTGGTACCCAGCACCAAGGAAGGCTTGTCTTGAAAAGGTTGCGTCCGTGCCGAGGGTGTGACTGGCACGTTGCAGCTGGGCAGAGCGAGTACAAAGCTGCTACTAAAAACACAAAGTGGAAACTTGCCTCATGTTGATGCGAGGGAGAGGAGGAGCCTGATCGATGTATATAAGACAAGGGGGAGAGGGAGAGGGAGAGGCAGAAGAGAGCAATTTTAAACAGCCCTGGCACCGAGACAGTGCCAGAAATAGTGTGCAGCCGTGTTTTCAGTGGTAAGCACAGCTCAAGGCAGCAAGCCGCTCCTGTGTCTTTCCCGGCGACTCTCCTCTCCCCCATCCCTTGCTCTTTGTGCGTGCCTCATTCTTTAGACTCCTGCACTCTCCAGATGTGAATAGCGCTAATGTGGTTTAGCAGGACAATAATCTCTCCCTCTCTCTCCTGTTGTTCCCCAGGGATGAGGGGGGTAAGCAGACCAGAATCAACTATTCCCCCATCGTATATACATCATGCACCTCTATTATACAAATAGTCCATATTTTCTGTGCTTCCTCAACCCTCCACAACCCTTCCAAATTTGAATTTTGTCTACAAAATGCTCTAATAATTTCCTTCTTACATGCCAACATTTGCAGTAATTGGAGAATTAGATACCACAAAGAGTGGGATAAATTTAGATTGGCTTCTTCCTTATTTTGGCTTCAAATGTGCAGCAAAGAGCAGCTTCTGTTCTGTTCGGGATTTAATATTGTTTAAAGTCCTGTCGCCCTTTACTTTTACTGCCATTCTTAAGTTTTACTGCACACTTGTTTCATTTTCATTTGTTTTCACTCTCTGTTTTATGTGACGGTTTTAATGATTTTATTGTACATTGTCTTCAATGCCTTCTGGGAAGCGGGTGCAATGTATACATTTCGTAGCTTCAAAAATGTTTATGTACGAGATCTTGACATCTGTATATGACTGGGGCTGGAACTTCTGTATTTTTTTCCACAAGGAATCAAGGATGGAAGTAGAATGATGTAGTAATGGATGCCAATAAATATTCTCTTTGAAAATACAGTGGATGATGGATTTTGTCATCACTTCCACACAACAACCTGAGAGCACTATGATTCTACCTTACCTGATACAGTTCCATCTTATGGAAATTTGGGATTTTTATCTTAGGGAGAAATATTTAGAATTTTCTGGAAGAGAGTTCTAGTGACTCATTCAACTTACGAAACCACAGGATTCCATAGAATGTGGTGATAGTAGGATGCTACAGTTGTATAATGCTATAATGGTCCAATGTGATAGGTCACTTCATTGGAGGCAAAAAGGAATACCTGCAGGGAACTGTAGCAATGTACTCACTAAGAGATTGAAATGAGAATCAATAAATCTTCAGATTAAATCATGCACCTGCCATGAGCTCACCAGGAATGCTCAGTAAAGCCACTATAATCTCCTCGCCACCATGCAGACTCTCTTTCTCTCTCTCTCGGTCATGCACACAACCTTTTACACACACTCTAGACACACAACAGCCTGCATCCTACTCCATGTGGGCAGAGAACAGCACTCCATCCATTCAATTCCATGCCCTTTGCTTCTAAGCTCCTTGGGTATCTTGCCATGGCTATTACCTGCCCAAAGCAGGCTGCAAGGTGACCGGGCATTACATGGTTGAGATTCAGCAGCCAAAGTTATTGCAACACATGATGGTGACTCACAGGAGAGCTTCTAGGAAAGTGATACCATATCCCTTGCTTCACCTATAGTTCTGTCATCTGGGTGCCTCTCACTGCCCCAGAACTTGAAAACTTCTCTCTCTCTCTCTCTCTCTCTCGAAAATGTGTAAAGAGGTACAGAACACACCACTCAAGGATATAGACCTGCGTTATCTAGGTTTAAGAGAGGCCCGTGTTCTGTGATAATGTACTTTACAGGGACATGTTGAAGTGCCATAGAAGCAAGATGCATTACTATTGCTGGGGGGATTTGCTATTGGTTGACTAGCTGACTCCAATTCATCCTGGAGAGAAGTGACCAGTGGAGTGTCACAGGGTTCTATCCTGCAACCAGTGCTATTCAGTGCTATATCTTTATCAGTTACTTGTACGATAGAATAGAAATCATACTTATCCAGTTTGCAAATAATACCAGATTGGGAGGGTTGGCTAATACCCTAGGGTCAAACTCCAAAGTGACCTTAATAGATTGGTGAGCTGGGCTAAAACTAACAAATTTCAACAGGTAGAAGTGTATGGTAATACATTTAAGCAGACAAAATATAATACATAAATATAGGATATACATCTGACTTATGACTTCTTCACATGTATCTTTTCAGTACAGTTAATCCATGGAGCCTCAAGCCGCCCATCAAACGATGCACACTCACTTTCAGCAGGGCTCCATCAATCAACTGTAGTGCTAGCATACTACGACACTTTGGCCAGAACATGGGAGGCTTCCCATGTTCCATAGGGAACAACAGGGCCAGTGCGGGGGGAAGTTGTGTGACGATGTTTTCCCATGTGTGATGGAGAAGTATTCATAGAATCATAGAATCAAAGAGTTGGAAGAGACCTCATGGGCCATCCAGTCCAACCCCCTGCCAAGAAGCAGGAAAATTGCATTCAAAGCACCCCTGACAGATGGCCATCCAGCCTCTGTTTAAAAGCTTCCAAAGAAGCCTCCACCACACTCCGGGGCAGAGAGTTCCACTGCTGTACAGCTCTCACAGTCAGGAAGTTCTTCCTCATGTTCAGATGGAATCTCCTCTTGTAGTTTGAAGCCATTGTTCCGCGTCCTAGTCTCCAAGGAAGCAGAAAACAAGCTTGCTCCTCCTCCCTGTGGCTTCCTCTCACATATTTATACATGGCTCCCTATCCCCTCTCAGCCTTCTCTTCTTCAGGCTAAACATGCCCAGCTCCTTAAGCCGCTCCTCATAGGGCTTGTTCTCCAGACCCTTGATCATTTTAGTCGCCCTCCTCTGGACACATTCCAGCTTGTCAATATCTCTCTTGAATTGTGGTGCCCAGAATTGGATACAATATTCCAGATGTGGTCTAACCAAAGCAGAATAGAGGGGTAGCATTACTTCCCTAGATCTAGACACTATGCTCCTATTGATGCAGGCTAAAATCCCGTTGGCTTTTTTTGCCGCCACATCACATTGTTGGCTCATGTTTAACTTGTTGTCCACGAGAACTCCAAGATCTTTTTCACACGTACTGTGTGTGAGGCAGCATGCAGGGGTCAGGATTGTCTACCCTATAGATTCACCACAGAAGCTGATGAAGCACCCCGTTGCCTCTCATCAATGTGATTAGGTCCTTGATAGCAGTAAATGATAGGGATCTAGGGGACTTAGCAGACCACATGCAGAACATGAATCAATATTGTGAAGAGCCAGCTAAAACAGCCAGTTTGACTGTAGGCTGCATCAACAGGACACTAGTATCTAGGCTTAAGGAAGTAATGATACCACCCTGTTCTCCTTTGTTCAGGATAACCTAGAACATTGTGCCAGGTTCTGAGCACATAAATTGAAAAATTGGGACGTGTTGAGAGGAGGGCAACCAAAATGGCAAAGGATCTGAAAACCATGCCCTATGAAGAGACACTTAAGAAGCTGGGTATAGTTTAGAAAAGAGAAGTTTAAGATAGCCATGTTTAAATATTTGAAAGGATGTAATATTGAGGATGGAGTAAGCTTGTTTCCTAAAATATAAACTATCAATAACATGAAAATCAGTTAAAACAATGTAAGAAAAAGTACAACATGAAATATCACTTCACCGTGAGCAATCCACAAAGGCCTGCTAAAATAAAAATCACATTTTTATGAAGGCAGTAAGCCTGGAATTGGAGTTTGTTTGGGATCAAATTTTGAGTCCCTGATCCCTTAAAAAACTTGAACAGGATGGGAAAAAACAATCACATCCAAAGTTCATGCAAATTATGATAACTTTTTTGTTCCCAGCAAATCATAAACTATGCAGAAATGTAAGCATTCCATCAGAGTTTGAGAAATTGTGGAGCTCTATAAACCAATGTTCACAATCTTTTAATGTAAGGGAGATGATATTTGCTTTGGTCTTCAATGTCATAACCAGCACTTTCAATGTGTTGGGAAACAAACCAGCATATGGCTGTTGTACCAAGGAATTTTGTGTTCTCTGTAATCAGCCACAGGTAACAAAGACCATGATTCCATAGAATGGACTCATGGCGTTCAAAATGGTATTGGCAGCTTGGCACAAGCTTCACTGAAGAAGCAACTCTTTCCACAAATCCAGATCATTTAGAAAGGTAATTGGCAGAGGCCTTTTGAATGTCACATCTGGAGATAGCTCTTGTGACTTCTTAAGGAAGGATATTCTTCGCAATGGCCTCCATATGTTGCGATGATCTGAGATTCAGCATGGATCTATAATGTGAATGTTCTGCCTGTGGATGGGTGGGGGCCACTGCTTTCCTGTGAGGCATTCCTGGTGCAACACTCCCATTCTTGCTCAGCAAAAGTGGGAGTGTTGCACCAGGAATGCCTCACAGGAAAGCAGTGGCCACCACCCATCCACAGGCAGAACATTCACATTATAGATCCAAGGGAAGGAATGAATACATACTCATTGCTAATGAAGTGGGAAGGCAATGGATTGGCAATGATGTAGTAAGAGGAAGGTTGTAAATGACCAGATATCGTGGCAGAAGGAATTGGAATTGGAAGAAAGAGGTGACCTGGCAACTTTTGGTTCTGGTCCTCACACAACAAACTTTGGTCCCACTAACTGCTGGCATATTGCACTGGAAAGAATGTTTATTTCAGCAGAAAAGCGTTTCCCTAGTTTACAATCAGCCCTCCATACCCACATAGAATCATAGAATCAAAGAGTTGGAAGAGACCTCATGGGCCATCCAATCCAACCCCCTGCCAAGAAGCAGGAATATTGCATTCAATATCCAACCATACCTGACTTGAAGATATCCTCACCTCTCCCCCCAAAATCCAAAAAACAAATCTTGCTTTTGGTATTTATATAACAAACACCTCTTCACCATATCATCGTATATACAGTAGAGTCTCACTTATCCAACATAAACAGGCCAGCAGAACATTGGATAAATGAAAATGTCAGATAATACGGAGTCTCCTACTGTTACCCATCCAACTCAGCACTAGACACCTAGAATACTAACAACAGGGACTCAAAGGATTAAGGCGAGGCAATGCCACGGGGCTAGAGTGGCCCAGCAGGAACTGCCCAGATGCAGAAGAGAAGTGTGGAAATCACAGAGGGAAGAAGGGAGGACACTTCTTTTCCCACTTTCCTCTGTGCTGGTATGGATGTACCAGGAGCTCCAACTTCATTTTCTTTCTATTAAATGTCTGCATG